GCCTTAGGGGGGAGCCCCGCCCACCCGCTAGCACCTGCAGGGTCTGGGCGCTGAATGGACCTTGCCAGGGAGGTGGTGAAGGTCTGTGACCTGAGGCTCCCTCCCCCAGCTGCTTCTCCACGGACACGCACTGGTTCTCGGGCGCGCGCTGTGAGGTGTCCATTGCCTGGAAGGCCCTGGTTGGGGGCCTAGCGGGGGCTCTGGCGCTACTGCTGCTGCTGGGGGCGCTTGGCGTCTTCATGGTGCGCTCCCGGGAGAGGCACGGCCGCGGCAGAGGCTGGTGAGTGCTCTGGAGGTTGGTGGTGAAGGTGGCAAAGGGGTCTCAGACGAGCAGCCCTGCCCTGACTGCATGCACCCTGATCCAGGTCCTGGGACTACAGTGACAGGAAATGGTTCGAGATATGTGATGAGAGCACAGTGGGGACTTTCACAAACTTGGGCTTAGAGGACGACGGAACATGTGAGTCCTGGCTCCTGGAGGAGTGAGCGGGGCAGGGGCTTCCTTGGACACCATTGGGGCCTGGACACGACCCCAAGGCTTCTCTTGCCCAGGATAGACATATATCTCTTGCTAGGGAGCTTAGCTTGCTGCTTGCCCACGTCCCTCCTGCAAAAGGCCAATGTCCTGCACAAGCCACCGCAGCAGCAGGCACAGTGGCACCTGCTTAACTCAGGTTTCTTTCCCTCCACGTGTTTTTTCCTTCCTCTTTTCTCTCTCTCTCTAGACAAGGAGGAAAACTTCCACGTGGCCTTGGAGACTGTGGACACCAATATAAGGGTGAGGGGGCCAAAGGGGGATGGATGGTAAGGAGCTCTCCCAGGTCCAGCTCCACATGCCCTACTCCCCCAGGGCAGGGTTCTGAGTTATAGGAGGCAGAGACCTCCCAGCCAGTCCAAGCAGAGTGGGTCCCTCTTCTCACTCCCTCTCTCACACACTCTGTGGCAGGTACACACCCAGAGACCTGAGGTGGATTTGTCCCATCTGTGAGCCCTGCGCTACCCCCTCCACACTGCTCCAGACAGCAAGAAGGAACCACCTACACTGCATCCATTTCAAAAGATGACCCAGGTCTAATGCAGCTCAGTGTCCTGGTTTCCTTGGGCAAAATCAGACCGTCCTCTGACCTCCATCCTTCTCGCGCCACGGGTGAAACCCACCTGGAGACCCAGTTCAGATCCAGGCTCTTCCACTGTTGGACCTTGGGAAGTCAGTAACTTCTCTGAACCTGTAGAATGAGTATAGCATACTTGTTCTAATATCTTATATAGTTATTGTGAAAACCAGAAGTGCTCAATCAATTCTCTGTCCCAATACCCCTTGTTGTGTCAGCCTTCAAGCTTAGATGGCTTCTCTCAGGCCCTCAGTCCCCACATCCTTGGCTGGGTCTCAGGCCATAATCTTTATTTTCGTATGAGCATTCCATACTACCTATTCCTCACCCTATACCTGTAGGGAGCCCGCAGCCCATCCCAGACTCCTTCCCTCCTTATATTACTCCCTGCCATACCCCTTGCTCCTATTCCTTAAATCCTCTCGCCCTTTGAAGCCACTTCTCCCCCACATCCCAGTCCCCAGCCCTGATCTCCTCTAGTACCTGTACTCTCCCCTCCCCCATCCTTGTACCCTCAACCCTAAGTCTTTACTCTCCACCCCAGTGTCCCAGTCCTTCCTCCCCCACACCCCTGTCTCTAGTTAGGTACAGATGCCCTCGTCATCTTAGAACCCCCCAGCTGTATTTCCCAGACTCTGGCCCCCCATTCTGAGGCTCCATTCCTTTTCCTCCCCCCTAAGGGCCCTGGATTCCCATGGGTGGGATGGTTGGGATGCGGGTTCCCCCAGGTCCTCAAGGGTGAGGGAAGTGGGGCCCTGAGGTAGAGAAGCTCCCTCAGCCCCCTTCTCCTCATTCCCCTCATTCTCCCTCCCCTCCTTACTGCCTCACTCACCTTCTACCCTCTTCCCAGCTCCTCTTCCTCACCCTCTTCCTGCCCCCACCCCTGTCCCTCCAGTAACCTCTGAGGCCAGAAGCCCCCAGCCTCCTCGGCAGGAAGGTCTCTTTTGGGGACCAGAAGTCTCCAGTTCTCTCATGGAACACAATATAACATTTATTGCAAAAGAAGCTGTTCTGTGTCTTTCTCCTTCTCACTTCCTGGTGCCTTCACTTGGCTACAGAACGGGGTCATCTGGAGGAGATAGATGTAGGAGAGCCTGGGAAAGCTAGTTTCTCCCAGTGAGGAAGGAAGGGGTCCCTCATAGGGAATGTAGAAACTGGGAGGCCCATTGTCTTAGGGAGTGGGAAGCGTCTCCATTAGTAGCACATGGGGCCTGTTGAATTTGTTATCTGTTTCCTTCCCTTCTTGACATCAGGAATTTAGGGTTGGGTCAGGGAGGTGGGTAGTCCAGACTGGATGAGCTGCCATTTGCGCTGATGGGTAAGCTGGGCCTCCCTAAAGACCTTGAGCCTTGAGTCTTCCCAAGCCTGGGTGGCGGACACCCTCACACGAGGGCATGCCATGCCCAGGACTTGGGCCCTTCTGTTCCCCCTATTGTGGGTAGCTAGGCCTGCTGGACTGGAGCTGAGCATGGTCTGGGCTGACAGTGTGAGGTTCTTTGGATGGGGGTTTGGGACAGGTTCCTGGGAACTTTTCCTGGGACAGTCAAGGGACTGGCAGTGGCCAGGGGTGTAGACCAGGACCATAAAGGCTCAGGTGTGAATGGAGCCCCACTCCGGAGAGGGGCTGGTGGTTGGAGGCTCTGGGGAAGGTGTGCACTACTTTGAAAGGGTCCAGCTTGAGGTGGATGACGGGAAAGGAAGGCTGGAGGAAAGAGGAGCCTCTCAGGGGTTGGGGTGGAGGGTCCTTCATTAACCCCTGCCTGTTGCTGGCTGCTTCTCCCAGAGTTTGTCACCCCCTCCCTCTCCCTGGCACTCACCCTCTCCCTGGTATTTCTTAGCCCCATCACACACTCACACCTCTGGCTTCCTGTCCCTCCTTCTGGCTCTGCCCTACCTGTGACTCTGGCTTTCTAGAAAGACCCTGGCTCTGGGGGGGGTCAGCTCTCCAGGAGTTAGAGGGGAAGAGGGTTGACAGGATGCCCTTTGTGCAATTCCTTGTGCTCCATTACTGCACCCTCACCCTGGGCCAGGCTCTGTCTTTCCTTAAAGCAAAGATCCCCAGGATCCTTTTTATAGCTGACCCCTCCCTGGGAGGTGCTCATTTCTTTGTCTCTCCTGATGGGGAGGGATCCTGCAGCCAGGGCCCCCCTCTGTAGGGTATGTTGGTGATTTGGATCTTGTCCCTGGCTCTCTGGCTCTGGGCACCCACTGCTGCCACAACACCTGTGAGTGAGACCCAGCCTGGCCTGGAAATCTCTGGTGGTCCTAGCAAGTGTGGGCCTCAGGCAGGGCTGCAGGTGGCTGGCCTCCCTACTTCCCCCTCTCCCACCCTTTGCAGGGGATGGAGCTGCTAAAGGGCTGGATACCAGCTGTGACCTCATCCTGCCTTTGGGGATGCAAACGTGGTCACCCTGGACACCTGTGGGTGCAGAGGAAGGGGCATGGCTGGTTGTGCAGTTGATGGCCAGTACCAAGCCCCTTGGTACTAAGTGGGGGCTGGAATTCACCCCCTCTGCTCTCCAGGTTTCCCCTGGGATAAGGGACTTTTTCCTTATCTAAACAGTGGTCTCTGCCTGCCTCATCCTCGGGGCTACCTCTGCCCAGAGGGCCAGGTTTTTCTGACCTCACAGCTGTACTCACTGTACAAGCTGCCAGCCCTGGATGGGGAGTGAAGGGGTCCACGGGCATTTGACAGCATCCCTGCTTGCTTGGGAAGAGCCTCAGAGGCCCCTAGTTAAGCCCCTCTAGTTAGACATTGCTGAAGGACTGAGGAGGAGACAGGTTCTGGGGTCCTTGTTGAACCTTGTCAGGGCCATTTGTCTGGGAAGTGACTGATTGCAAGCTGATTTCCAGATTAGAACACTCTTGATTCCCCAGAGATAAGGAGGAGATCTGGAGAAGGGGTGGGCAGGGCAGATACTGGAGCCAGGAACAACGGATAGAACCTAGAGTCCCAGGTAAAAGAGGCAGCTCTTGAGTTAAAGGACCTGCAAAGTGTGTGGAGAAGGACAGCCAGTAGGCAGGGGTCTCTGCAGGAGGGAACGTAGGCCCTTGGAGTCCACCTTAGCCCCCTGTGCCCTGACATACCTACTTTTGCCCTATCCAGACATGCTGGGGGGCAGTGGCAGAGGCCAGGAGCTAAGGGAAGAGGAGCATGGGCTGCGAGTGTAAAGTATGTGAATTTAGGGACATTATAAAAATACATTAATTACAAATATATTAGCTCTAAGGTAATAAACAGAATAGGAAGCTATGGGGGGGTAGAGGGGTCCTCCCTGCCTCCACTCCTCCAGCAGACTCCGGACCTCTCTCTGGCCAGGTTATCTGAGGAGAGGGATGGTGGTGGTGGTGGTGATGATGATGAAGGGCCCAACAGTCAGCAAGTACACAGCCTCTGTGTGTCCAGCCATGCATTAGAGACAGCCACCATCAGAAGTAAAGACTCTTTGTTACACCCGACTTACCTGAGACTAATTCACACAGAGACTAAACTGAGCATTTGGAAATTTATTAGCTGGCGGCTGCGAGCAGACTCCTGTCCTAAACAAACTCGCAGCCCCGAACAGTCTTTGCAGGAAGAATATAAAGGCAAAACCTATGTCCTGGTTGGCATGGAGACTGGTGGTAGCCTAGCAAAGCAATGCACAGAAGCCAAGGTGAGCATTGTTTAACCATTATGGTTGGCTATTTCCTGGCACTAGCTTGTAACTGTTAGTTCAGGGTTATAAAACAGGGTTGGCAGTTAGATTAAAAATGAGGGTTACATGCTTCATGATTAAAAAATGAGAGTTACATGCTTCACTTGTTCCTAAGCATTGACACATGTGAATCCATCAGCATGCAAAAGAATAAAAAAGCATCTCTCTGTGATAAGTGCAGATAGCTGCCAGAGGAGGGGAGGTCAGGCAAATAGAGCCATTCCAAGGGGACTCCTGAGAGTCCAATGATTACCCAGAGGCCACCTGTCCCCACTCACAGAAGGCTCTGCTATTTACAAAGCCATTTCAGAGGAGGTAGCTCACAAGGAAGACCGTGTAAGGAAGTGAAGACAGACAGGAAATTAAGGCTCAGAGAGGGTGAATGATCTACCTGGGCCCACACAGCAAATAATTAACATGACGTTACCCATTCAATATCAGGTTTGTGCTTCTCATCCCCACACTGGAGGACCTCAGCCCTCTGCAACATCCCCACCCCCTGAATGTATTCTGGGTCCTCAGGGAGGGGTTCAGATGGGTCAGAGATCACAGTGGCATCTGTAGGTTTCTTTGTTTCTAATCTGCACCCGCCTCTGGATACTCCAGTTCACTATGAGGACTGATGAGGTTTTGGACAAGTAAGGAGAAAGAATTCCAGTCTGAGAAGGTAGGAAAAACACATGCATGACTGTGCAGGGGAACAGAGGCTTAGGAGTGCCTGGAAGGCAAGGGGGCATGTACTGGGTGGGTATAAATTTCGGTATAAATTCACGTTTAGTGATGAGGGAGCATCTTTGGGTGACAGGAGCATTAAAGCCAAGTGGAGGCTTTTAGACACCAGAGGACCTCCTTGAGTGGGTTGCCCCTGTTAGAGCAGATCTGAAGAGAGGCACTGAGAGCCATCCGGGCATGAGGCCAAGAGGGTTCAGCTGGGGACCCAACTCCCCTGGAAATGAAGAGGAAGTTTCTCTTTGATGATGGGTTGTGGGGGCACCAAGGCAGATGGTTCTAGGTCCATCGTGACTGGGATGGCAGGGGACTCTTTTTGGTGGTTGACAATGGCCTCTAGGTGGGCCTGTCGAGTTTGAGGTGACCATGGGTTTCTGGGTGGAGCTGTCCTGGAGGCCTGGGGCTCAGCAGGGAGCACAGGAATAGAATTCTACATTCTCCATAA